TCAAAATCAACACACTACACAACAGCTCAGACTTGTTCGCAAAATACATTAGCAAAGAAACACTACAGAGGCTCACACAGAGCATTGGCATACGTGTTTAGCACTACGAACAACAACTGTTTCACAACTGTTGCACATCAATCACAACAGTTTGTATATGGCCATATGTAACTACCTGCATTTAAGTAACAGTAACAGTAACAGTGACTACAAGTAATAGTAATTGTAACCACCAGTAATTTGCACTTGCACTTTTGGCGGCTTTTGGCGGCTTGAGTCAACACTACATGTTGTTTTGTGTTTTACTACATGCCCGCATGTGCTTTTGTGAGCTAACATTGGCTCACTACTGTCTGCCCCGTTTCACTGCATCTCGATAGGCCGAACTACCAGCAATGGCTGGAACTACGCCCATGGATGCGACTACGCTGGATGTCATGCCGATGGAGGTTACTACATCAGCGCCAGAGACTACTCTGCCCGTCGAACAACAGGCTGGCAGTACTACACCGGACCGTGTCTTCGCACCACCGGATCGGCAGGGCACTACCGACTCCGGCAGCATGGCTACTTTGGCCACTCCACCACCTGAGGCCTACAACTCCCGCAACTACAACTTCAATCACCAACTACCCACACCGGCACCTTTCTACAGACCCGACGACATCTTGGCACACCTCACTACAACTGAGAACAACATCCCCGACACTCCAGCGATCGACCCGGAGCAGAACTACTTCAGGGTCTACGCGGCTTTGACGCTCGAGGAGTTCCAACTACTAAGTCAACAACAAACTACACCCATCCCCGAGCTCAACTACAACCTACCAGTTCACGACCTACCTTCAGACCTACGGATGCCACACTACGACTCACTACCTCTTCACCTACGTCTTTCAGAGGCAGTCAACTTCTACTACTACAACCTTACATCACTACACCTCACAACCCAGTACACCAACTCGATGGTCATCATCCAACTACACATTCCACCAGAAGTTCTACTACGATTTGTCAGCGCTGGACAACTCGTCAACTTCTGCCGCGACTACGTGAGCCACATGATTTCCATCAAAGATGAGCACCACCTACCTACACGCCAGCTACATCAACGACTACACCGAATCACCTACAACTTGGACCAGACCACCACTATTCAACCTGTCCAACAACTTCATTTGGAACTATCACATGCCCCTGTACCTACCAGAACTACTCAACTACTTCGACCAACCACAACAACTTCAAGACCACCACGACAAGTCCATCAACACGATGCTACACAAAAGTGTCACCTACTGCGGCATTACCCTCCTCACGGCTACAAATCTTTCCATGCAACACAAACTACTACTCCACAACTACCTCACTACCACCGGCCAAGCACTTGCACCACCGGAATGCGACTACAACCGCCTTCGTGGCGGTCCAGACTTCCTCAACACATTCACTACCAACCACTATGCAGGCTTGGACTACCGCATCAGCCAAGTCCAGAACTACCGAGTCCAACACTGGACTAAGCACACCTGATCTCCAGGTGGAGCTGCAACTACGTGCTGTACTACGTCATCGTACTACGAGATGACTGAGAGCCATTTAGGGTTCTTGTAAAGCAATTTCACTTTTTGATCATTTGAAGGTTAGTTGAACTACAGACAGCAGCGCTGTAGATACCTACCTTCGGTCATCTTTTTTAAGAGACTACATGCCTGTTCGCTACAGTAGCATCGGCAAACAACATGTGCATTCGTTTTTGCCACTACTGTCAATACCACCTTTTGGGTCTATGGTTAAAGGACACTACAAGGTCTTTTAACCAAGGGGCTGTGGCCAATATCATGTTGCACTACTTGTCACTTGTGCATGCATGATGTACACTACCCGACTGCAGGCCTTGAGTCTACCAGGAAAAGAGTGCATGCTGGCTGACTACATTAGTGTTTGTGATAACAGAACAACACTGGCACTAGAAGTAAAGTATCAACGTATTTTAACGAGAGAGAGAGAGAGAGAGATGGATGGATAGATGGATGGATGGACGGGATGCGGTAAATGGGTGGAGATTGGTGGGCCCGCGGGATGCAAGGATGGCACGCACGCACACCCACCCACCCAACCCACCCACCCACCCACCCGCCCGCCCGCCCGCCCACCCAGCCACACCCGCGCGCCCGCACGCCGCCCCTCCCGCCCCCCGGCCGCGTGCCCTCCACACGCGCCCCCTTATCTGCGCGCACGCACGCCAGCCCGCCCTCGCTCGTGATGACCTTGATGATGATGATTATGGTGGAAGATGTTGATGACGCAGGGCAAGTATTGAAGTGTTGTACGAGCTGCGCCGGCAACAGTGTTCGCAGGCCGTCTACAGTGTTGTAAGCTTATCAGGATGGTCTAACGTCAGTTCTGAAACGTATATATAAGAATAAGAGAAAGAAAAAGAAAACCAAGACATGATGATCATGACACCATCATGACGATGATAACTATTATCATAGCATCCTCTGCTGTACCATCATGAACATGATAACTATCATCATAGCACATCATGGTCATGATAACTATTGTCATAGCATCCTTAGCATTACCATGCTTCATGGTAACCGCCATCATCGCATCCTTGGCAGTACCACAAGTCAAGAATTTGCATCACCATCGTGATGATGACAACTTTCATCATAGCACCCTTAGCACAACCACCTTCGTCTAACGTCAGTTCTGAATTGTGTATGTAGGAACAAGAGAAAGAAAAAGAAAACCGAGAGATGATGATCATGACGCCATCACGACGGTGATAACTGTTATCAGAGCATCCTCTGCTGTACTTCATACAAGAAAACCAAGAGATGATGATCACGGCACCAGTCTGATGATGATCACTATCAGGTGATAACTGTCATCATAGGATCCTTAGCCTTACCATCGGGGCCTAAAGTCAGTTCTAAGACGTACAAGAATAAGAAAAGAAACGCGAAGATATGATGATGATGACACCATCATGACAAACGCAACTAGCATCATAGCATCCTTTGCATAACCATCATGAACATAATAACTGTCATCATAGCATAGCATGGCCAGTATGACCATGATAACCAACATCATTGTGTCCTTAGCATTACCATGATTCATGAGAAGTCATCATCGCATCCTTAGCATTACCACCAGCCAAGAACTACAGATCATGAGGGCTGACCATGATGATGACAGCTGTCATCGTAGAACCATTTGCAGCATCATCAGGATGATGGTAACTATCATCCTCGCACCCTTTGCGCAACCATCGTGATGATGATAACTTTGCAGCGCCGTCATGCGATGGTATCTATCATCATAGCAGCCTTCGCATTACCATCCTGATGGTGATAACTGTCATCATAGCAGCCTTAGCAGTACCATTAGCGTCTCCTGTCAGTTCTGGAACGTATACATAACAATAAGAAAAGAATAAGAAAACTAAGAAATGATGATCACGACACCAGCATGATGATGATAACTCTCATCATGGCATCCTGTGCATTAGCATCATGATCATGATAGCATCCTTAGCATTGCAGCAGTCCATCATCACGAACATGACCACCATCATCATCGCACCCTTAGCATTCCCATCAGTCAAGAAGTACTGATCACGAGGGCTGATGATGACCACCATGATGATGACAGCTGTCGTCGTAGAGTCACTTGCATTACCATTAGAATGGTTCGGCCGTCTGCTGGTCGGCGCAACGACGGGTCTTCGCGCCCCACAACGGGGTTGCGTGTCTCAGGGTTGCTGTCAGGCGCGGACCTGCTCAGCTCGAGCGTCTGCGTCCTTGCGCGAACTGATCTGGCTAAGAGCACGGTACTTTGCAGGGATTGGTCGTGGCGCAGCGGTCAAAGAGTCTTGCCCTGCCACGCTTGTTCGCCGCCTCTTCGTCGCCGCGCAGCAAGTCGGGGCGCGAAGTCACACTCGGCAACGAGCTCGGCCCTCAGAGCTTTGCTGAAGCTGAGGTGCGCGGTTAGTCAAATCGCACCACAGTGGGGCCCATCTCCTGCTAGCTGAGAAGTCCCCGGTCAGGAGGTGTTCCGGAAAAATAAATCATTGTCAGACATGCAGGAAGGGCGCGGACCGGTCCGGAACTAGCCGAACTCGTGACGCATGGAGTGGGCGGAATCATTTCAATTTTCGGGAAATGGACGGAGCCAGTTTTGCAGGCTGCAGTAATCCTTTTCAGTTTGCTGGACACGCGGGCGTGCCGCCAAAATGAGCTCGTATCTACCTAGAAGCATTTTCGCAACGTGCTGCTTCCAACGAGCTGCATCAGCTCAGCAACAAAATGCTAACTTAAACTCCGCCAGAGTTCAGTCGGAAGTTCGACGTGTTCAACCGGGGTTGACGCCAAACATGTTGGGCTCTGTTCGGGCAAGCCTGACTAACCACCAAGCTGGCGGCGGTTAGCTCGAGGAGGGGCGAAAATTGGTTCAGATAGCGCTTGCCGAGCCCTTGCTGAGCTGGTGTTGCGCTGGTCAGGCTGGCGTCGCCTCCGTAGCCATTAAAACTTTTTAAGCTGCGCAGAGCCCGCGTCTCTGTAGATCCCAATGCTCTGCCACGAGCTCTCCAGGGGCCAAGGCGGGTTTGTAGGAATTTCACCAGGCGCCGCCGATGGCCGCGACATTCTTTCGGTTTCTTAGAACCGCCGCAGCGCCGTTCTGCAAGGTTCGCAACCACAGCGCGGGGCGTGCTTGCCCCAGGCTTTTACACACAAGGGCTCGGCGCTATTGCCCAAGCCCCCAGTCTCTCGTCCTCTGTCTCAGGGAGCTAGCTTTCAAAGAGTTGCCGCGACACAGAGTTTTTTAAACGTCCTGGCAGTGCAGGTTTAAGCCGTGGACCGGTTTCAGGTTCAGACAGCCCGTTCGGGCAAGCTTTACATGGCGCACACGTCTACTTTGAACAGCCTGGGGCCTGACTCTTCAATCCAGGGCCCTCCTCCTTTTTCTGTTAATGAGCTGCGCGACAGGTCGACGATGGTGAGGAGATTGCGCAGATCATGTGTTTTTACGGGTGCCTCCTTTAGCTGATTTGTTTGATTTTATTTCTTGGGAACAGCAACCAAAAGGAAACCAATTGTTCATAGAACATTTTGGAACTGTCTGAAAATCCACGAGCGTAGGAGCCTTTGCAGGGCCTCACGCTTGGCACTTGCCGTGGCTCACTGGAGCTGGCGCGGTGGCCCAGCGATTCGAAGTGGTCCAGTAGTCAAGATTTTAGACCCCTTTTCCAAGAAAGAGGTTTGGGCAAAGCAGCAGTGTGTTCTTCTTCTTGCAGCCCAGCAGCAGTTCACGCTTAACCATGGAGTTGGTTGGAAAAGGTTCCAGCCCCAATTTGCGGGGCATTTTGGCGTGTGTTTCTTGTGGTGAGATGATAGATTGTCTAGCGGTTCCTGGATCGGACCTCTTTGCGGGCCTTTTTCCGGCTTTTGAGGGTGAGTGAGCTCCGGCCCGGGCGCAGTCCACCGCACCTTTGAGTCAACTTGAGGACTTGCGCGCCGCGAACTTCCGACACCCTTCAATTGCTTCGTGCAACCGTCCGCAGCAGGGTCACACGCATAGTGCTAGGTTGTCAACCTTAGCTTCGCAGAGTTTCCCAGACTGTGTTGCCGTTACATCCCAAGCCAGTCCGACGCTTTCAGCCTGGACGAAAAAACGCGCTGCAAGCTTTTTTGTTCGGCTCCATGGGCTGTTCCCTGCAAAGCGCAAATAATTTGGAAAACCATTCTGTGCCAGACAGGTTCTCGGCGCATCTTGTTGAAGCTGGACACGGTCAAGTTTTTTTTTGCCACTGTGTCTCGGAACTTGAGGGTGCCGCGTTTCCTGTCAGCAGACAGTTCTCCCCAAGGTCGCTCAAAGCGCCGGGAAGATCTGTGTTCGGGCCTTTTGCAAAGAGGGCGCGCAGGTGCTGCCATGAAGGTAATCAGGATGTTGCAGCGGGCAGAAGAACATGGCTTTGCTGTGGACCGCGTTGGACTTGGGCGGGTGTCGCCGAGTGATGCGCGATGGACGCGACCGAGGCAGACAGCCGCTGCAGCGCGCGAGTTTTTCGGCGCAGGTTTGTTTGTCAACCCTCGCCCGAACTGATTAAGCTATCTACCTCCCCTGCAAACACTGCGGCTCAAGGTTTTGGGAGACCAAGGGCAGGGCCCCAACCAGGCGCTTCTTTCCAGCTGCGAGCTGCGAGCCCACGAGCTTGCGCGAACGGTGCGCGGATCAGCGTGCGATGGCGCAGCCTTCTGCAGTGCGCGAAGTTGCAAAGCGACTCATGGATAATTGTCAGGCAAGCGTGAGCTCCGTCTCCACTTGCGACGAGCCTGCCTGCAGCAGCGCCTCCCATGCGCTCGTGCCATGAAAGCCCCACTCACTTGGTTTGTGCGCTAGCCAGCCTGTGTGTGTGTGTGTGCGGCTGTGAGTCGTGGCTGCAAAGCGCATGCGCATGGACTTGTGCGCATTGCAGCCAGCCCTGTGCAGCCGCCTGAGGCTGCGCCACATGTTTCTTGTATCCTCCTGGTTGGCCACAAGCCCCTTGCCTGCGCAGCGTGCGACCAGTTCAAAACGATGAAGGTCACGACCTTGGCGCTCTGCCCCCCGAACTCCTTGCGCTTGGACTGCAAGTGGTTTCTGTCAGCACTTTGGGCGCGCAGTTTTCTGCGCGCGCGCCGAGGTGGCCAGTCACCGCTGTGTGGTTGCGGCGTGCTATTTGCCACGTCGCCCTGTGCTGCGCGGTGACCCGAAACCTCTGCAAGCCAAAGGCCCCCCAAGTTCTCGGCAATCTCGCGGGCTTTGCTGTTTGCCTCTGGCATCCAGCCTGCGTGGCAGTCATCCTGGGCTGCGCGAGGCAAGGATGAAAAAGTCGTTAAACTTTTGACACGAACAACAACCAACAACTCACCTCCCAGGATGCTGCTGAGAACACAAGCTATAGCCAAAGCCTGAATGTCGTGACACTTCAGGTTAAGCTGACCCTCGACTTCAAGCATCTCCGCCGGCGTGAAAGATCCACATCTCCTTCGTGAGCTCGTCGCTGGCGCGCGTCCCCGAGACTTCCGGCTGCCCAACTCTCTCATTTAAAGCCCTGCGCGCGAGCTGCAACACAACCTGAGCCAGTGGATCCAACATTGTGGGCGCGGATGAGGTTGCGGATGTCTAGCTCTGAGGCGCAGCCCAGTTTGGTCAGTGAGATGACCCACGCCACCAAGCGCGGCGCTCTCAGCAGTGCAGGAGTCCAGCGTTTCATCTCTGGGTCGAGGCTGTCTGCGCTCAATTCCGTGAGTTGAAAGCCGCAGCCGGGCAGTTGGGCTATGGTCATCAGATCTCCATGATCACGTTGATGCTTCCAAGTCATTCGTTGAAAGGGAGATCCGAAACTTGCCGGAAGGTGCTCGAGCAAATCTCGTATACTGTCGGGCTTCTTACTGACGATGTGGCCGTTTGCAATTCAGCGTCACGCAGTTGCCACAAACGTACTGCCACAGCTGAATGGGAATGATTTGCAATTTCCTTTCAACAAGACCTTCGACGAGATTGAGGTTCCCTTTCAGGCAAAGATCTTGCTCTGCAACAATCTGGCGCGTGCAGACAACCAAGCCGGAAAGACTTCACCGACGTCGAATGAAGGCGTGTTTCTCGGGTACTCCATTCAACCCGGTTTTGCGTGGAAAGGTGAGTGCCTTGTTGCGAAGCTAGAGGGCCTTGACTATCGCATCGAACACGCGTCCCTCACGGTACAGCGGACGAATCGCATTGAGATTCCTTCTCGTAAGTTCATCTTCCCAAAGGGGCTGTTGAAAACCTGGGTGCTGATGTAGTCGCAAGGAGCAATCCTGTGCCAGTCGAGCAAGGACCTGCCCAGATGCGTGGGCTTTCCGAAATCGTGTGGCCAGAGGTACACGAGGCAAGAGTCGAAACCGAAGTCTCTGAAAAGAATCATGAAGAAGAACTGCGTGCGGAATCCAAGAAAGCAGATCGAGGCCACAGTGTCTACTGAGGCCAGATGAGCCAATCCCGAAGCTGCGTTTGGTGAGCGAGCGATGCCCGAGATCAGGCCTGCGCCAGCAATCGCAAGGCGCAAGCCCTTTCGCAGGACGGAGCGCAAACACGTCACCACCGACAATCCCTTTCCACCGGACGGACAAAAGGCACTTCCAAAGCAGTTTGCGGAACGTTCCCGGCGGAGGTGATTGCGTGGCGTCCGGACGACTGCGTGTTGATTTTGCTGACGCACAAAAGGTGATCGCCCCCCGAGCCAGACCGACTGCAAGATGGCGGCATAGTTTTCTTTCGCACTGCCACGGTGTCCTCACTCGTGGGCAAAGTACCAAACTTTACGATTATCTCCGTGATCGATGCCTTCGACGGAGTTCACACTGAGCGATCGGATTCGCAGAAAAGCACTGCCGAAGATGAAGGCCAAGGACTTTCCCGTGATCAGACGATGAACGATGATCGCCACTGGAAAGGGTTGCCGCCACAAGGACGAATGCGCCCCCTCACTCCTCAGGCTGCAAAGAGCAGGAAACATTCCTGGACGCGTGTTCGATCACATTTTAAAAGGTCATACCACTCACGACCTTGAAAAAATGTGTCCTTGACATTGCCCGTTTTCACGGCCAACTGGTTGCAGTGCTGTGTTTTCACGTTTTTCATGTTTTTTCACGGCCACTTGGCGTTTTTTCACGGCTTTTTCACGCTTTTTCACGGCCATGTGGGTCTGTGTTTTTTTACCGTGTCAGTTCTTTAGTCTTCGTGGGAGGTGGGGCTTGGGCGAGCCATACCCCCGAATCGTACCCCGAACCATACCCCCGAGCCATACCCCGAGTCATACCCCTTAAAAACACAAAAAATGAACTTGCAAGAACTGTGGCATTTGCAAGTGATCCATGGATACCTGGTACTAGAGTTGTTTGTAGCATCCGTGGCGCTGTGGCGGGGGGTGCCGCTGCTGAGCTTGAAACTTGGAGCTTGCTTCCTGCAGTCTGTCCGACGCGGTGGAAACAGCTGTCTGTCCTGGGCCACTGTCGCAGTGAAACACAAGCTGTCTTTGTTCTCCTGGGGTACTCTTGGTGTCTTTCCGGTCGAAAAAAATCTGTCCCCCGATTCATACCCCCGATTCATACCCCGATTCATACCCTTCTGCTGCCGTTTGCAGCCAAGAGCCTCTTGCGCTCTGGGCAGTACTAGCGAAGCTATGCCGCCCAAATGCTCAGAAGACACAAAACTCAAAGAGAAGCACTGCAGGGTTCGCCAGAAGGTGGGTTCGGAAGGCTTACTGCGATGCATCAAGCGCGACACGGTACACCACCTGTGAGAGACCCACTAGCCTCTGCGCGGCTGCCGTTTGAGGATGTCACGCTGTCTTGCCCTTACGCTGGTTCGTGACTGGTGCGGGTGGCGGGCCTGACTGGGCAGCGGCGCTTCCCCTTAAGCAACGCTTGCTTGCTTGGGTTTGTGAGCACGCGGGTCGCTTGAACTCCAAGTGGAGGTGGCCATGACGTTCGCCTCAGGCAGTGGCTCTGCGCCTTCCGCCTAGCGCAGCAGCTTTCGCTAACCCACTCACGCAGAGTGGCAGCTGTCCGGTTCAGGTCACTCACAAGCGCCCCAGGCTGGCTTGTAGCAACTAAGCGGCCCAAATTCTCACGGCTATCCAGTTGCCAGCGCACGGGAGCTTTGCAGTGTCCAAGGCCACAAAACAAGAGTTCAGAGGCGCGCGAGCCATACCCCGAATCATACCCCCGAGCCATACCCCGAACCATACCTGCGATTCATACCCCTTATACCAACCTCCCGGCACGGCCACGTCAAAAAAACACATACCCATGTGGCCCATGTCGGATTTTCACGCCCAAATCATTTTTTCACGTCCAAATGCCTGTTCGGCCTTTGACCACCTAAAATGCGATCAAACGCACCTCTAGGTTCGACCCCAAGGAGAATGTGGGGCTGCAACCCGCAGCTTGGCAAACGTGCAGCGGCGTGGTTTTCGTAGGATAGCTCAACTGCACTCAGCGCGGGACAGAGCAGCTCTGTCACCTTTGAAAACCAGGCTCTTGAAGGAGCAACAGAAGATGTTCTTGGCCAGGCGTGCTAATTTCCTCAAGAAGATTAGCAGAAGCACTTGCTTCAATCTTCGCGAGGAGGATCGGATGAAAATCATATCCTCGGACAGCAATGC